TGATTATGCGATGAGCCGGGTCTTTCGGTGTTATTTAAACATGCCAATTCTCAGAAAATATTTTCTAATTTTATTATATTACCACCTTTTTATTACATAGATCTTTTTCAAAACATAACTGCTTTTAAAACATTATATACACCCATTAAACACAAAAACTGCCCTGGCTTCGAGGGCTTCGCCCCCGACCCCACCGTGGCCCTTAGGCATGGCCCCTGGACCCCACGCCCAGAGAACGGATTATGACCAGTTGAGCCGCCGACAAGTTGAGCCGCCGGTCATTTCTATGGAACGCCAAGCGCGTCCGTAGATTTTGCAATTATACAACTTCATATATTTTTATAAAAATGTAGTACATAAAAATATCAAAATTCTAATTTTCAATTACACAGTTATACATCACGAACGGCAATACGAGCAAATCAAAGACTGACAAGACTGTGGGATGAATATGTAGCTGGTATCTGGGGGGTTCATTCACTGATGACATCGGCAAGCCGACTACATTCACTGGGAGACGCGCTTGGCGTACCATTCAAATGACCGGCGGCTCAACTTGTCGGCGGCCCAACCGGTCATATCCCCAGAGAACCCCCCCTTTCAAATGAACTGCTACGGGCCTGTTTTACAATAAGTTACTATTATTAATCTGACAATTGTCTGAGTTTTCGCGATATGGGAATATTTAGCCAAAGGTCCTGATTGATCATTGTCTTGGATGTAAGACACTATGTCTAGGAGGCCTAATGCCCGGCCTAATGATACATTTCTGTAGTGTATTTTTGTAATAGTATTACAGAAATTACTCCGAGACTTTCCGTCAGATTTCAGAACAGGGAGATGCCAGAAGAAAATAAGTCGACTACACACTGCTGCTCGACCGTCCACAATGGTTTTTCACCTCCTGCCTTAGGCGACGGACTGAGCCTCTTAGCAAAGATCGAACCTACCGTATACCGCAATGATCCTACACCATCATGAATACTTCGCTGGGGTCTGGTACAATAACTTCTCCTCTCCTCTCACCAAAGATCTGCTGCAGGTGAGAAGATAATTAAATAACGCAGTGATACGTCACAACAGTGCAGTACGATGTACTCGTTGTGAGATACAACCATCGAGGTATTATACCTCCATGATACAACCAACCAATGCTACTGTACACCGGGTGACGCCAGGATTTTCCCGGTTTTGCGGCCACTAAATTTATAAAATTTCAATACATATCAGTGTTTTGTGCCACTCAATTATCTATTCTGAAATAGCTGTTTTGAATTTGATGTATATAGGCCTCTTGGTATTTTCATTTGATAATTTGTTTTACTTTTATACAGATACAATTTTGCAATTTTTATATCTATTTAGTTTTGTATGCGTCGAACCTCTCCTTATGTGTGAATGTTCCTCTGTTTTAAAGGATTGGGACCAATAATCTTACCTTATCTTCTCTTAGAGCCTAATTTGGAATAAACGCCGTGGGTTTATTCTTCCTTGAAACGCCCCCTAAAATGACTGGTAAAGCAATCTAGGAAGCAACATCATTTCTCAACACATTCTATTAATGTTCTACTCCAGTTCAATTACATTTTTCTAACCTGGTTGAAATCAGTAAGTTTGAATGATCACACAATAACACATTTTGACGATGGGTTCATGTTCCACATTTACAGTGAATTAAGGGGAGTTTATTTGAGTAATATATAGTTATGTTTAGTGTTGCAATTGTTTACTGCAATAGCTTGAAAACAAATTTAACGCCCTCACACCAGAACTTGGGACTTTAAAAATAATGGCTGATAAAAGTTCAAAATGAAGCGCCAAAAAAATTCCCTTCATCTTTTATTAAGAATTTTTACCTACTTAAAAGCCGTGAGTCCACATCCATCTCAGGCCCACCATGGTTGGGACAGAGGCGCGAACATTTTGGTAAATATTATACCTCGAGCTAGATGGCACGGTTGGCGCATCGGTTGTGTGGCTTGTACCATAGAGGGAGCTCCATGCTTGACTCAGTTCGAAACTATCGCTGTGCAATCTCCATGGATTATTTATGCAGTTCATTTCAACAATTCTGGCATCTTTTTGGACTTATGAAATCATATTGCCGCCGAAAAGTTTGGGTCTAACCCCCCCCCCCTTAAAAAATATGTGAGGCCCCGTGGTTGGGGCTGAGGTAAGAAAATTTATGATTATGGCACTTCTAGATGGCCAGAAATGGTTTGACAAGATAAAGACATAGTATATAGGCCTAATGATATATTAGAGAAAAAAGAAAAGAAAAACTGACAAAGCCCACAGCCGGCCCAGGGATCCGGGCGCGTTGCATTTTATGGGTTGGGTTGGGGTGGGGGACAAATTGTTCCCAAGAACTCCAAAAAGGAAGTGGGGCCCGGGGTTTTTTTTCTGGGGAAACTTTTAAAGTCCTTCAAAATTTAAGGTTTTCCACCTCCGAAAACGGTCAGGTAAAATTTCTCATTCTTATATTATAGTAAACGCCTGTTATGTGTTATACATACATAAAAAAAATGAGTAGTTGCGTTTTCTTTTTTCCATGAATTGACAAACTCCAAAGAGAATTTTTGATTCCTAGATGGCGGGAAATGAGCTTTCCCGACTTCTGACATCGACATCGTTATTCTCGAACGATGGCCAGGACCTATGGCCGGCGCAGACCTGGGTGGAGTTAACACTAGCAATTTTAATAACCTAGGAAAAAATGTCGTTTTTTGGTATAGGTCTCCAGGGAGTAGATCCCCGGCAACTATTGTAACTACTTTGGTGTTACATGGTTACATGTCTCATACATTTAACAGTAACACACGTGTGCTGTGTGTAGGGCCAGTCATTGATAGCATACATGGTAACTTCCTGTGAGTTACATTGTCTCTTAACAGGTAACTGTATGCGTATCGGGTGTTTTTTATGAGTTTTTATAAGTTTTTCAAAATTCAAGGTTTTCTCCTTGAAAACGATTCCATGAATCAATGAACACCAAAGAGAAAGGGGGTTTGTATTCTCCCCGGGGAAATGTTGATTTCTAAATAGCGGGAAATGATTTCCCGACATGTGAAGTGTTTTTTAATGACTTTTAAGTTGTTCAAAATTCAAGGTTTTTTTCTTTTTGAAAACGGTCAGGTAAATTTTTCTTATTCTTATTACAGTAAATAGGCCTTATGTGTGTATCATAAAAAAGAAAAGAGTAATTGCATACGTATTCTTATTACATGAATCAATAAATCCCAAAAAGAAAGGGGGAGGGGCTGGTAAAATTTTGATTCCTGAATTGGGGAAATGAGCTTTCCCCACTGATGAAATGTTTTGTACCGTATGCTTTTAAGTTCTTCAAAATTAATTCAAGGTTTCCCCTCTTGAAAACGGTCAGGTAATTTTTTCTTACTTACTTTATGTGCATTGCATCGTAATCATTTTTCCATGAATCGGTAAATCCCAAAAAGAAAGGGGGTCCGGGGTTGTCCCCGTGAAAATGTTGATTCCTAGATGAGCTTTCTCGACTTCTAATTTTGTATTCAAGGTCTTTATTCTTTATTCAGATAAAAATATAGCCTAAATTAAAAATTACAAACAGACAGCCAAAAGACTGGATATGAGTGTATTACAATAATTGCTTAAAAATTTAAAAACAGAACACCAATTTTCACAAATTTTTTTCTGTCAAAAATTGGGGGCAGGGGAGGTGGGGAAGCGGGGTTCCCCTTCCCCCTCCCGGTTCCGCCGGCCATGCAATAAACTGAGTCTGCCTGTCTGTCTGAGTCTTAAATCAAGCAGTAGATTATAAGGTGCAATATACACTTGATTAAAAGATAATAACCATGTCTTGACCATTTCATACAGATCTATCTACAGTATATCATGAAGTTTAGTTCAATTCCACTTGCATAAGTAGGCCTAGGTAGGCCTACCCGGGAGTAGTGTCATCAACAAAGTTCGTGTGTTGTAACAATAAGCAGGGGCTATGTCGTTGATATAATAAAATTAAGAGAAGGCCCATAACATATAACCCTGCGGCACTCCACTTGTAACATCACCTTAGTGAGGACTTGGCATCACGGACAAAACAGTGAGAATCCGGAATCCATTTTAGAAGCTTATCTTTAATACCATAAGCATTTTAATTTATTTATTAATATACCTTGAGATTATATAGACTTCCCCTCCCAGATCCCCCTTTCATGTGCTTTC